GTCCGTCGATTGAGACAGTCTGAGATGTAAGCAATATGCCGGAGCTTTCAAATGGATAGGATATGATAGTGATAGAGAAATTGATACAAGAAAATGTTATGAACCTGGCAGAGAGGTGGAAAGGGAATGACGGCATTCAGTGATGATGTCGCCGCTCCACTTATGTTGCCGCTCCAAAGCTGATAAGCCTTTAGATAACAAACCTTACAAATGGATTTGAAGGAGACCCGGGAGGCCCCCGGAGATGCGATCTATAAGATACAGGAAAAAGCAAATATAAATACCGCAAATCTTTGCTAGAAGTGGTCTGATTATGACTTAAAAATAAGTCTGCTTGCAGTTCGGACAAATGGTAACCAGCCGCTTATTGGAATGTTACGGATTCTGTCCTAGTATAGGCTGGAAGTCCCATCTAAGAAAGAAATATCAATATCAATAATACTTGTGTTGACACAGCTATGTACAGAATATACCCAAAGCAGCATCGTTCATAAAATCGCTCACAGCTTGGCGGAAATGGCGCTTCCGCCGTCAACCGTGATAGTTGCGCCATTCACGAACGCACCAGCACGGCTACTCAGGAACAAACAAGCCCCGGCAACATCCTGCGGGGTTCCAATGCGGCCGAGAGGCACACCGGCCCTGATAGTTTCACCGAATGACTCCAAGGTAGCGGCCATCATCTTACTTTCGAAAGGACCACACGCCAAGGTATTAGAGCTGCAAAACAAATTAGTCCCCCATACATCAAAGAGAGGCGAAGCACAGCAGATATACTTACGTAACATTTCGCTTGCCCAGATGGTTGGCGAGCACCCGGCTCAAGTGATGCAAACCGGCCTTGCTGGAACTGTATGCGAATGTTTCGAGCGAGGGAACACGAAGTCCATCAATGCTGCCAATATTGATGATGCGAGCAGGATCTTCCGGTGTAGCCGCCTTCTCCAGGAGTGGTGTGACAAGCTGGGTCAAATCGAAGACCCGGTGGAGATTGAGGGTGAGAACTCGTGTGAAGGCCTCGGATGGGTATTCGTCGTAGGGAGCGCCCCAGTTCGAGCCGGAGTTGTTGACGAGGACGTGGAGCTCTAGAAGCAAAAGATATGTCATTAGAAATTATATAACTGTCCATTGGATGTGGTGCCTTACTGCCTTCGCGCTTGCCTAGCTCCTCAGCCAGCTTCTTCACATCCTCAAGCTTATAGAAATTGGCCGGAATGGCGTGGGCTTTGCCTTTGCCCAGGGCGTTAAGCTCCTGGACAGCTTTCTCGCATGCTTTTGCATCACGGGATGAGATGTAGACAGTGGCACCATTTGTTACATAGCCTTCCGAGATCATGCGCCCGATGCCCTTGGCTCCGCCAGTGACCAGCACCACTTTGCCCTGCGGGCGTGTTAGAATGGTTGTAAAGGTAGAGTACGAAGCAATCTAACCTTGACGTTGAAAAGACTTGCGGAATCCATTGTAAAATTGTGAATTAAACTCGATATACCAAAAATTTCAAAGGAAAGAAGCTCCTTTTGTTACATCTGTCCCTCGTAGCTCTCCCCGTTACACCTGGGCTACATACCCGAAGCCGTGATTACTTGTTACCCAGCCGAGGCACACGGATGTGGAATATCTTTATACCGAGTGATATGCGCTAGTCCCCTTTGGGGCTCAGCTTAGGGCTGCATCGTCAGGGTTTCGCGGGGTCTCTGGTCGAGGTGCTTAGGCTGTTTCCGTTCAAAGCATATACCCCCATCACAATAGACTTGATTTTTGTTTTCATTTCGTTATTTCACGATGGAGGAACTCCTGTCAAAACACCGCAAAGAACAAAAAGATCTCCAAGGGCGGATCACGCAAAAGAAAAAGTCCTCCACTAAGAAAACTCGCAAAGGAGTCAACGATGAATGTGAGCGATTGCAGCGCGATCTGTCCGAGAAACAGCAAGCCGAGATTGCACAGTTAAATGGAGATTCAGTTGAAGAGCTCGGAGACCTCAGTCTGGAAGATGATCAACCAGCAGATGACAAAGACTCTCAACAAGACAACCCCACCGAGGAGCCAAAAGAAGCAGAACCAACAGCCGAATCCACCCCAGAGTCTTCCCCTGCATCCCACGCAAAAAAGCCAAATCGCCAAAAGGCCCGTCTCGCGCGGCGCGCAGCTGAACAAGCCGCCCAGTCAGCCGCCGCCGCAGAAGAGGCCGCAACACAAACAAATTATAGAGGCGATGAACAGGAGGTTATGGATGCTGCATTCAAGAAGCTGGGTCTGAAGGAAGTAGAAGTGACACCGGATGGGCACTGCCTTTATTCAGCTGTAGCCAAACAACTCGACGAGTCCGGACTCGGCTTGCGGCCGGACCCAAGCCGAATCGTCCTTCAGCCAACGACACAGTCACGCATCGACACAGTCATCTCTCCACAGCACGATGGCTACCGAGCTGTTCGGGCTGTGACGGCTGATTTCATTATGGAACATAAAGAGGACTTTGAGGCGTTCATGGAAGAGCCTATAGAGGTATACACTCGGAAGATCAAATTGACTGCCGAGTGGGGAGGGCAGCTGGAACTGCAGGCGATTGCCCGAGCATACGGCGTGGAAATCAACATTGTACAGAAGGATGGGCGGATGGAGAAGATTGAGTCCGGTGAGAGTGACAGCTTCGATGAGGAGGAGAAGCGCAAACGCGTTATCTGGCTTGCTTACTACCGCCACACCTACGGACTCGGCGAACACTACAATGCACTTGTAAAGAAGGCCTAAGCTACTTATATCAACACAATCTCATTTCTGCCTCGGCCTTTTTCAGTTTGGGCCCGGCTATGCAATTGCAGATCTATTTTTGTCTCGGTTTTTTTGCTTTGTGCTTTTTGGCCTTTCGGCAGATCTAGTTACGACGACGCCAGATCGAGACTCGGTCGTGGATCATCCCGTTCTCGCCCTGGCCTACCTCGTGCGTGCGCTCTGGCGTCCAGTACGCCACTCTTTCCAGGCCGGCTGTGCTCGGTGCCCGTAGAGGTTGGTGCTTGACGACGCCCTTGGCGTCGTAGGGGACTTCCTCGCCGGGGTGGCTGAGGTGTGCCACGTACGCTTCCGATGGAGAGGCATATGGGGGTCCTGGAGCTTGAGGATTCTTGTGGCGAGGGAACTCGAGACAGATCAAGTTGCCTTTTGGCGAAGGGGACAGAAGCTGGGTTTGTCGGAGCGCCCACTTGGGTCGCATTGACGGCTCCAGAGCACAGAAGAACTGGATTATGATCAGCGTGAGAACAATGAATATAGCAACTTGACATATAGATGAAAGAAGATACAATATTCTTGTCATCAAACCACGTTGCTGTATTCCTTTCTGCATTGCGATGAATCCCACAATGTAGACACATCGAAGCAGCAACCCAAGGGAAAAAAGGAATTCATACCGTGTAATCATAAATAATATCAAATCCATTCAACGGGACACCGATTTTCTGCAACCAAGCATCATCGAAAAAGTCACCCTGGATCCAAGTAACCTTTCCCGCGCCAACAGTCTCATCACGGACGCGATACCAACTAGCATTATCTGCCTCCTCCTTCTTGCAAGCTTCAATCGCAGCCGCGCTATACTCGAGACCATAAGCATCGAAGCCGAAGCTCGCTAGCAAAAGGGCATCCACACCTCTCCCGCAGCCAGGAACGAGAGCCTTCCGCCTATACGACTTGCCCTGTGCGTCAGTCGCGACAGGCGCGCCAATTGTTGGGCGCTGCTTGACGAGCGTATCTTCTAGGGCAGGACTGGGGAATCCTCGGTCCCAGGGCAGATTGTCGCCCTTATCCCAGAGGGAAGCCCACCCATCAACGTATTTGTCCCCCTTGTATTGAGAGAGATGGGCCTGGATTTCCTTTGGGTTGATGTTGGTGGCCATTGAGACGGTTGTATTGGTCTAGATCGTTGATCTGGTTTCACCGGGATCAATTCTTGGGTGTCAAGAGGGATGCGGTTGAGTTCACCGCCACCTTGACGCCTTATTGATCTCGGTGATCCATTCCAGATCTACGAGGCTTATTAATCACACCTTGCAGCCCTGAGATCCACCTAGACCAAAGGCTGCATCATGAGGCGTACAATAGGGTGTTCCTAGATTTTGTTTTATAGTTACACTCTTTGCTATCAGTGACGACAGATCTGTCCTATGATCATGGAAAGTCCATTATCACCTACCACAACACCTGAATCTGTTCTACAGTGTAATCATGCCAAGTCCACCACCTAACCAATTTCATTCCCTTTTTTTTTCCTTCTTTTTTAGGTGGTGGGCTTGGCATGATCCCCGGTTTATAACTATAGGACTGGTGGTGTGTTTATAGAGACAGTTCGCTTCCTAAGGCAACATCCGGGGAGGCAACGCTAAAGAATAAGCGAAAGGCCAAGAGAACGTTGATTGCGACTATTAAATACATCACATCACAATGTTGCATATTATTTTGTGTTATGATCTAACATCTAGACTACCCGGAGTCTCTAACTTCTCTCGGGAAAGGTCCCCATCAGGTCTGCCGACGGAAGACCGGCACACTCATGCTGAACGATTACTGGCTCTATAAGCCGGCTTATATTTTAAATAGGATAGAAAGTGCATTAGCGTCAGTAGATCGGATAATAATCCGGTTATAAAGCCCTGGACACTGGAGCGCAAGATATGGTATTATCAGCTACATTCCCGAGGTCGGTCACTGTCGGTGCTTGTCGGGCATAAAATCTCCAAATGCATTGTTAATTTTTTTCCCCCTCTGATCACTTTAATTTTTCCTACAATACATTCAACGTTGTAAATACAACGCATCTAGGGAAATAGATCGACACTCTTTACAAGGAAGGTGGCTACCTGCAGAGCTTTCCCAGGGCTGTTTTCAAATCAATTCAGCTTGACTTTACTCTTGTAAACCCTTATGCGCCATATTTTTTTGGATTCAGGTTTATTTTTTATGAATTGGCAACTATCAACTTTTATCCCCATCACATATATCCAATATGCGTGAGAAATCTGAGACAGATGGCATCGTCGCATCCTCGGCTAGTGGAGAACATCCGACAATCATAGCGGAGACAAAATCAGAGAGTGACCATGATAATCACTCCCTATCAGGTGCCTCTAGTAATACTGCCAACGAAGAAAATGACCTAGAGAATCCCCCACCCCTAGAGCGCCAATTGACGGAGCTTGGTCCGCCTATCAATGTCCCCCGACTCCAGCGCAGAGGCTTGTTCGGCCAGTTAGCATTGGTGGCAGAGGTTGAAAACCCAAAGACATACACTCGCAGAATGAAATGGTTCATCACATTTGTCGTCGCTCTTGCCGGAGCCACAGCGCCAATGGGCAGCGCGATCTTTCTACGTGAGTCTCGAATCACAAATTTGGTATTCGTTTGATCATCTCTAATCAATCTTCTACCAGCTTCACTATTACAAGTAACCAAGGACTTGAATACGACAACTACCATCACTAATCTATCGATCGCGTTGTATATGCTGGCCATGTCAATATTCCCGTTGTGGTGGGCGTCATTCAGCGAGCGACTTGGGCGACGGACCGTCTATCTGGCGTCTTTTGCTCTATTTGTGGTCTTCAACTGTCTTTGCGCAGTCTCAAATTCTATCGGAATGCTGATTGTAATGCGAATGCTGAGTGGTGGCGCTGCTGCTTCTGTCCAGGCGGTTGGTGCTGGCACCATCGCCGATCTCTGGGAATCTAGGGAGCGAGGACGAGCCATGGGTATCTTTTATTTAGGTCCGCTGTGCGGGCCCTTGTTTGCACCCATTGTCGGAGGTCTCCTAGCTCAGCGCTGGGGATGGCGGAGCACGATGTGGTTCCTATCGGCATTTGGTGCTATTACTCTCATTTTTATTTTGTTCGCCCTTCCCGAGACCTTGGCCATGCAAAAGCCTGTGTTGTCTGAACTTGAGGACGAGGAAGATACAGCTATCAGCCGCCCGTTGAGTCGAGTCTCATCGCAGCAGGTTGTTCGATCCACTGCAAGGGTCCTCAAGACTTTGAAGATGGTCCTCATTGATCCGCTCAAAATCATTCTCTATCTGCGGTTCCTCCCCGTCGCTCTCACTGTGTACTATGCTAGTATCGCCTTTGGCTCCCTCTATGTCCTCAATATCAGTGTTGAGCATACCTTCTCAAAAGAGCCATACAACTTCTCCACCATCATCGTTGGTTTGCTGTACATTCCGAACTCACTGGGCTACATGGTGACCAGTATCTTTGGAGGCAAATGGATGGACAGCATCATGCAACGGGAGGCGAAGAAGGCAAATCGATACGACGAGAAAGGCAAACTGGTACTACGACCAGAAGATCGAATGCGTGAAAATGCATGGCTTGGCGCCTTCATGTACCCGGCAGCGCTGATCTGGTATGGGTGGGCGGCGGAGAAGGGAGTCTTTTGGCTTGTCCCAGTATGTTAACTCTTAATATAGTCCCCAGGATACATCTGTCTCAATTGCTAACTCCGATCTGATAGATGATTGCCAACTTCTTCTTTGGCATGGGCTCCATGCTCATTTTCAGTATGGTAACCACCATGCTTACAGAATTCATGCCGAAAAGATCCTCAGAAGGTGTGGCTCTCAACAACTTCATGCGAAACATCTTCTCCTGTATCGGTTCTGTCGTCACTGCTCCGATCATCGGTGGTATCGGGAATGGGTGGCTCTTCACCATCCTCGGCCTTGTCAGTCTCGCAAGCAGTTCCGTCATCTTCTTGATGAGAGTCAAGGGCCCTAAGTGGAGAAAGACTATGGATGCACACATGCGTGCATAAGTTGGGTTTGCTCCGCATTACTAGGTTGCATTTTATCTCTGGCATTGGTGCGTATTTCTATATTAATTTCCAGGGAGGTAAGGGCCTGACACACCATACAATTTGTGTCGGCACTCACCTGTCTCTGTTCTGCACATACGTCTCACGAAAACAAAATATCCATGTATGACTCTAGCTCTGTCTCGTCGTTTATTTCCAGCCGCTTTCGGGCCTTTTTATGTTTTACTCGTCTATTCTCAGCTGTCAGTTTCCTTTGGGATCCAGATCCGTCTAATTTTAATACTTAAAAGTGATACCCGTCATGAAGTGATATCTATGTCCCAACAACCTAAAATTTGCCCTCACCAAGCCGCAATGACGTCCAGAAGTATAATGTGTACAAGAGCAGTTGGGTGCGTATGCGGCCTCTGTCCTTAACGAGGTAGGACTTCAATATTCTGATTTATCTGACTCGAGATGATATGAGGCTACATGTGAGAGAACATTCTGATGACTTTATCATCTATTGGTCTGCACAATCAAGTAGCCTTTCCTAAGCCGATCCCACTGTTAGCCGCTCAATATCAAAAGCTCCAACTCCAAAATTCTACAATGTCCGTCCCGCCATCACGCCCAGGTTGACTCTTTTGGGACAGTCAAGCATATCCATCTATGCAACTCAATGTATCACTTATTCATATTAGACTAAAATTCCAAGAAAAACTATTCCCAAATTTTGCTCATATGCAACTTCCACTTATTCCGTACATAACGGCGGTATTAACCAATATCAATCAGCCGTAAAGCTTCCATCTTATGGGATCCCTTACCTTCAATCTCGACCAGTTCGCTTATCCTTGGAGTATTCAACCCGTGTCCAGGTAATTGCATATGCCAAGCTGCTACGTATAACGTCTCACGTATTTGTGTTATCGTGCATATTATCTAGGCCTAGCTACAACATACATTATACCAAGTGTTGGCTGGTCCACGATAGCATAATTTTATCCAGAAAACAGGTCATGCAATTGTCAGGGGCAATTGATTGCGTATGATTTTGCTCTAGGTTCACTTCAAACTCTACTCCATTCGGAGTATAGAAAAAGGATATAGATCTGAGTAAGACTGCACGTATTAATTCGCATGCATAAAAGCAAAGTAAGGCAGCCTATCAGAGCTTCATCACGCCACGTCTTTGACTCGCCAGCACTTCTATGTTGTAGCGAACATTCGATGCAGCTGTGAGGGGAAGAGGGGGATCACCGGCGGGACAACGGAGTGAAGGGCATGATGTGCTGGAGTTACCAGGGTCTGCAATGTACGTGCTTTTTTAAGCGATGTTCGCGAGTGCTTTTCCATTGCCAATCGAAGAAGCCCTCCGATCCCAGTATTTTTTTTCTCCTCTTTTTCTCACACAGATCACTCTCTAGCATATCCGATGCCGGCAACATCCCTACGAAGCTGTCCTTCAAACGACCTATCCACTCAACAGTTGCAATCCCAAATATGAGACAAGGAATGAGAGTTTATTAGCCTTGAGACCTCTCCTCTCCGATCGGCGTATTCCTTTTACAACAAAGCACATGAGTGACAAAAAACAGTTTGGCTAAAAAAAAAAGAGCTATATTAATGCCCATCCAAAAAGTCCGAGGGTACGGAGTAAATAATATACTCTGTATGAGTCCAACGTGCTCCGTATCACGGAGTCAAAACAAAGACACCCAGAACGCAAGAATCCTGGCCCAATTCTGAGAATAGAAACAGATCCACCAATCATATCTATACATGCAACGGGTTTGCCTCGAGGATGACCATTATTTGCTAACCACACGCAACACGGCATGGATGCTCGGCCCGCTGCATGGAGTTGGGTATATACTTTGTAGGTACCCCATCTGATGATTCGGCTGAGGACTTGTATCAGGAAGTACAACATATCGAGAATGACACGAAAGGTCAGCGCCGAGATGATCCGCTTGAGGAGAAAAAAAAAGCGGCATGGGCATGCATGCAGCCCTTTTTAGACCGTAGTGCTGGCTTTTGTACCTATCTATACCATTAGGCACATTAGGTCAGATTGAACACATATGCCATTTTGACAGAAGAGGACCCTGGTGACGAAGCTATTGTAAGACGACACATCGATCAGATAGCCGTGGGGGCTGTTAGTGTACTCCGTACTTGGGCGAAGTTAGATGCAGAAATTGGCGGACGTGTTGGTTCAGGAGTGGCTGGTATTGACGCGAATCACATAATGATCGGCTGTGCTCCGTGCTCTAGATGTAATTATGGGTGGAATTGAAATATGAGATTTTCTCGAATAGCAGAGACGAGAGAGCATTTCATGTGCAGGTCCCATGCACAATATCACCTGACTCCAAGGAACTCGCGTTCCGCCATTTTTATCTCTTTCATCTAGCCACTCTGTACATTTGCTGATGCAGTCCACAGTGTTTAACTGCATATTACATCACCATTTCAACCACTGGCTCCCTTACAGTTGAGTGTCACAGAATAAATGTTCTCAGATTGACTCTGAAGTGTCGGTGTCGGATTTCGAGAGTGGAGATTCAACTATCCACAACTCCATCAGCTCCATACAACTTTTCATCCCCAACCACCTCTATTTCGCCTATTGGATTCTATGATTAATCCAAAATGTGGCTAAATATCCAAATATTTGCCCCCCAAGCACTAGATCCCGTTTGAGGTTAATGTATCCTGGTCTCCCCACCGGTGTACGCCCGCATCCTATTTGCCGCCTTTACCGGGGGACGTTGGGCAGGAATGGGCCTGCATCGCCTTTGCATCTCGCCCATCAGTTTTCCTACTGAAACATCGCCTTCGTGGCTTTGTGTGCATCTGCGAAGTTCCCTTGGCCCAATTCATTTCTATTTTCATCTATGAGTCTGTGTGTAGTAGTATCCAGGCCCGAAAAACAAATCAAAAAAAAAATTACAAGTCAAGTCAATCCAATTCAATTCAATTCATTCGCTGGCAATCACCCCACTTCAACAGACCCAGTTACTCCATACTACTGCAGCAATGCCTTTCCTATCTTGACCGACATGTCCCCCAATCGCCAATCCCATCTCGCCATTTACTGCTTGGTACTGCAGCTATTCCTGCAGGTGGGGATCGTGCTGCTTTCACCCGGCCCTAACCAAGCATCGGACATCATGTCGGTCCTGGAGATGGAGACCCGAGGAACGACGTGGCCCAATGACAATGGACTCCATCGGGCAGTTCATTGGTGACGTTCAGGGCCCAAAAACCGTAATGCGGTTTGTTGTCGTCCCATCCGACCGCATAGAAGAAGACCAACTATTATACGCTGCCTCACCATGATTGTCCAATGCGACATCTGTGTCACCAGAGAAACCAAGCATCTTTTTTCTTTCCCTTTTAGTTCTCTAATACAGGAGGTACCCTGCCCAGTCTGACATTCCTCAATTCTCCAAATCTTGTATCTTTTGTTCCTCGTTTTCCCTTGCCTTCCGTGCATCGAGCCCGACAAGCCGGGTTGCCAATTTCCTATTGTTCCGATTCTCGTCACATCACGCGCCAGTCAGCCTCGCCCGGGCTTTCGATATATGATACGTCATTGACCAGGGATAATGGCTGGTAAGAAGAATAAGAATAAGAAGAACAATAAAAACAATAACAATCGCTCTCCCGTCGGTGCTGTATCACCCCCTGAATCTGAGAACAAAGATCTCGTCGACTCTGCCCCGTCCCCGGCGGCAGCCGCTGTTGAGGATGTCTTACAAGTATGCCGATGTCCCTCAGTACTCATATCAAACGGTTCAACGTCAATATTCGACCTATGATTTTGAGTCTAATTCTTTCCAATTTTACCCTGTCACCTATTCAACCACCGATCTGACCGAGGGCCAAAACCAGGACAACAAAGAGCCCACAACCGACGAACCGGAGAAGGACCCTGCCTCTGAAGATCCCCCTGCCGCTGAGCCAAGTGGCGATGACAGCCCGGCCGCTGAACCTACAGGTTAGTACTTGTCCTTACAGACGATGAGATTTATCGTCGAAGACCCCATGTTATACTTTTTGTACTTGATATTAACATAAAATGTTCAGATTCGGCAGAGGCTGTACCACCAGCCGAGTCTCAACCCGACGAGGCTGCCCCAGAAACTAAAGAAGAGAGCAAGGATGAGCCAGCACCAGATGCAGAGAAGCCCGACGAGGCTTCCAAGGAAGCAGCCGTAGAAGACGCGAAACCTGCGGAGGATGCGAAACCTGACGATGGTGCAGCGCCCGAAGGCGAAGCAAAGTCTGAAGAGGAAGCCAAGTCCGAAGACACACCAAAGCCCGAAGACGACCCAAAGCCTGACGATGAATCTAAACCCGAAGGCGGCGCCGCCCCCGATGATAGTGCGAAGCCTGCAGAGGACTCGAAGCCTGAAGAAGATGGGAAACCTGAAGATGGAAAGTCTGAAGGTGCAGAAGATGCCCCAGCAGGCGAAGACAAGAAAAAAGAAGACGATAAAGGCACTAATGGTTAGTGTCCAAAACTACACTAAATCTCGCGAAGCTCACCGTATTTAGATGAAGCTTTCCCGGAATGTGATCCAGATGTAGATCCTGAGACAGTAGCAGCCGAGAAAGAGGCTGGTGCAGAAGAGACAGGCGAAGACAAGAAAAAAGAAGACGAAAAAGACACTCCTGGTTAGTACCCAATCTTAACAGTAAATCTCACGAAGCTTACCGCATTTAGATGAAGCTTTCCCGGAATGTGATCCAGACGTAGATCCTGAGACATTAGCAGCCGAGAAAGAGGCTGGTGCAGAAGAGACAGGCGTAGACAAGAAAAAAGAAGACGAAAAAGGCACTCCTGGTTAGTATCCAAATTTACAGTAGATCTCACGAAGCTCACAGTATTTAGATGAAAGTTTCCCGGAATGTGATCCAGACGTGGATCCTGAGACAGTGGCAGCCGAGAAAGAGGCTGCTGCTAAAGCGGCCGCCGAAGACGCCCTAGAGAATGGGGAAGAAGCACCAAAGGCCGATGAAGCACCTGCAGAGCCAGCCGTTGAGGAGCCAAAGGCGGGGGAAAAGCCAGCAGCGGGCAAAGGTAAGAAAAAGAAGGGCAAAAAGGGCAAGGGCGGCAGGGCAGCCGAGCCAGAGCCAGGGCCAGAGCCCAAGCTAACGCCAGAGGCAGCGGCAGAGCCGGAGCCGGAGCCAGCACCAGCAGCAGAACCAGCGGCCGAAACAGCGCCGGAGCCTGAAGCCGAGCCTGAAAAGCCTGCTGATAATCCTCCTGAGTCACCAGCCTCGGAAGAACCAGCAGCGCCCGAGCCACCCGCGGAAGAGTCAAAACCAGAGGAAAATTCATCGGGCAAGGGTAAGAAAAAGAAAAAGAAGGCTAAGGCCACAAAGGCAGCCGCTGAAGCAGCCGCAGAAACAGCCGCCGAACCAGCGCCGGATGCCGAAGCATCACCCGAATCAGTAGAAGCACCAGCAGAAGCACCAGCAGAAGCACCAGCAGAAGCACCAGCAGAAGCACCAGCAGAGACACCAGCAGAGACACCAGCAGCAGCAGAAGAACCTGTCAAGGAACCAGAGCCAGAAGCTACGCCAGTCGAGGAAACACCTGCTGCCGAACCCGAAGCTGCTGTAGAAGACAAGGTAGAAACTGTAGAACCAGTTGTGGAAACTGCTAAAGAGACACCAGTCGAAGAAAGCACTTCAGTTGAGCCTGAGCCTGAGCCTGAGCCTGAAACAGTTACAGAGGCTCCAGCAGAGGCTGAAGTTCCTGCTGAGGCAGTAACCGAGGAACCTGCTGCCGAGAAAGCACCCGAAGAAGCGCCAGCAGAGAGCCCTAAAGAAGAGGCACCAGCTCCTGTTGAGGAGAGTGCTCCTGCTGAAGCTACTCCCGAGCCTGCCCCAGAACCTGCCGCTGAGCCTACTCCCGAACCCGCCGTCGAACCTGCTGCTGAACCTGCCGCTGAACCTGCCGCTGAACCTGCCGCTGAACCCGCTGCTGAGCCTGCCGTAGAGGCTCCTGCTGACCCCGAACCTGCTGCTGAACCTGCCGTGGAAGCTCCTGCTGACCCCGAACCTGCCGCTGAACCTGCCGCCGAGCCTGCTCCTGAACCCGCTGCTGAGCCTGCCGTAGAGGCTCCTGCTGACCCCGAGCCTGCTGCTGAGCCTGCTGCTGAGCCTGCTGCTGAGCCTGCTCCTGAGCCTGCTCCTGAGCCTGCTCCTGAACCCGCTGCTGAATCTGCCGCTGGACCTGCTGCTGAGCCTGCCGTAGAGGCTCCTGCTGACCCTGAGCCTGCTGCCGAACCTGCTCCTGAACCCGCTGCTGAACCTGCCGTGGAGGCTCTTGCTAACCCCGAGCCCGCTGCCGAACCCGCTGCCGAGCCTATTCCTGAGCCTGCTGCTGAGCCTGAACCCGCGGTTGAGGAGGCACCTGCTCCCGCCCCAGTAGAAGAGACACCAGTGGAAGAAGCGCCCACTGCCGAGACGCCTGCAGAACCCGTAGCAGAACCAGAAGCTGTGCCCGTTGAAGCACCAAAGGAAATTCCAGAGGAAGCACCTGCTGCCGAGCCAACGCCCGAAGAACCAGCTCCTGTCGAAGCTGCCCCAGCTGAGATCCCAGCACCTGACGAATCCCCCGCTGAACCGGTAGTTCCGGACGAGGCCCCAGTAGAGACACCAACACCGGAAGATGCATTGCCTGAGACACCGCCAGAGGAACCAACCCCCGAACCAGAGGCTGCCAGAGACCTCCCCGCCGAAGACCCACCAGCAGAACCAGAAGCTGCCCCCGAGATAGTCTCTATCCCCACTCTCGACGAAGTAGCACCCGACGAGCTTGAACCACCCTCAACAGACGCCCAGCCCGATGTGGTGATGGTTGACGTCGAGCCTCAGGACGAAAGCGCAGAAGCTGCAGCAGCCCGCCACAGACGCCGCAGAAAGCGCACATCACCGATTGATGGAGAACGTCGAATTGATGGGGAACGCCGGATGGATGGAGAACGCCGGATTGATGGAGAGCGTCGGCAATCCAAGACATCTTCCGAAGACCGTCGGGATCAACCCCAGCGCCAGAAGAGTGAGCGAGGCATCTTGACTAAACGCTGGACCGATTCACTGGAAGAGGCACGCCGTCAACACGATGAGAAAGTCCGGTTGCAACGAAAGCAGCGGGCTCTCACCGAGGAGCGAGAGCGTAGCGGCATCATTGCCCCCGACACATTGAAGCGCACCAAGAGTTCTTCCAAGGATAAGGAGAGAGAGAGAACGAGGGAACCAGAAATGGAGGCCGAAGTCATCGAATCTAGATCCAAACGCCGTACCTCCGAAAGTCCCCGAATTCAACCTCTCGAACGATCCCGCTCAACCAAGGCATCATCTAAACTGGTATCATCAACTATACCGACACCCCAGCCCCGTGCCTTCCTGCGATACATGACGGAAGGCATATCGGATACCAATGGGCCTTTGCTGCGTCTGAATGCCACCAAGGCTGCACCGCCTATCGAAACTCCACGCCGGTCATCAACAAGTCATAGCAGTGGCAGTGGCGGCGGCAGTCGTGGCAGCCGTGGAAGCCATCACGATCGGGCGGAGCCTGAAGAGCGACAGTCTAATAGTCGGTCTAGTGGATCACGGTCGCGGCGTGAAGAGGAGACTCCTCGCGGTGATCGCGCCGAGCGCACTGAGAGTAGAAGACTGCGACACTCGTCAACGGCCGATCATGGTCGATCTAGGGAGGAGAGGAAGGAAAGAGAAAAGGAGAGAGATCGGAGGGAGAGGGACAAGGAGCGCGAGCGCGAGCGTGAGAACGAGCGTGAGAGCGAGCGCACACGGGAAATAGAGGGAGACAAGGCAAGGGAGAGGGAGAAGAGGTCTGAGGGCTCCTCCCGGCGTTCCAGGGACTCAAGAGAGGTGCGCTCTCATCGTCGCCACAAGCGCGAGGAATCACCTCCTCGAGAAGAGTCGAAGCTGAAGGGTATCTGGAGATCGATTGCTGCCCATTGAGACTATAGAGATTTTTGATTTGCGTTCTTTGGATTTGTTTTTGTTCTCTTTCAACCTTGTCTATTACTTTTAACGGGGAGGTTTGTGGTGGTTTGACAGAATGATCTATATGTGACAGTATATGTTTGATGGATTTGTGTTTCCAGGATTGCATCGGAGAGCGAATCATTGCAGGAGTTTTTGAATTGTTTTTTAGCCAGATTTGTTCAATACGCATCAACTTGACAAGGGTTTTGGTTTTAGAGATTGTCATGATTTGTAGCTCTCTCATAGCTTATTTGAGGCTATCTCGAGGCCGTCGTAGTATCTGTCTAGTTCGACTGTCCAACGTCAATTCCATCATTCATGTCATATTTCATGATATATGTCATTTAGCTGGTATCTTCGCCAGCGGCATTAGTCGTAGATAGTAGAAAAGTTGCCCGAGCATCAAATACAACAAGCAACATGAAAAAAGCCCTAAACCAGACAGCCAAATAAGCAAAAAGCCTACTCGCTCTTCGCCGGAATCACTCTAGAACACCACCCACACCAACCACGATACAAACCCTTCTCCTCCCTCTCAAGATAATTCCCTGTCTCCCTCTCATCCTCATACTCAACAACACAAGCACCAACATTAACCCTCTTCTTAGACTTATGCTTAACAACACCACCCAACCCAATGATCTCCTGTCTAAGATACCCAGGCTCCTCATCATCATGGCTATCCGTCAAGATACTAGCACCCTCATGACTAAACAACGGAGGTGCGGGACTATGCTCAGGACTACTAGTATCACTCCCAGACGTAGACTCCTCATCAGCCTCACAGTCAACCTCAAGCTCAATTTCCTGCGCAGCAAGACAGTTCTCACCACGCCCGCACTTAACCCCCTGGGAGCCTTCGCCAATACCAGTGCCCAGCCCGCCGCCGAGGTACGTGCTATAGCGCGTGCGCCATGCCCAGACACGACAGTATGTCGTGTCATTACTGCGCAGTGTCATTCCGCACTGCGTGCACAGCCAGACAGCTTCCTCGCAACTGCAGGGGTTTCGCGCGAAAGCAATTGCCGCGACGGTATTCTCGGCCCACGGGTCGGGGGTGTGCGGATCTGAGGTTGGGTAGGAAAAATGGGAAGAGAGTGGCGCTATTCCGCATGGTCGGCAGAGGCGGCGGATGCGGTTTTTCATAGCGATTTGGGAAGGTGGTTTAATTGTACAGTTCTGCAGAGCGGGGTTAGCGACTTGATGGTCTTTGTTGAGAGCGGAAGGTTGACTTACTCTGCATACAACCTTGGCGCAGCGTCGACACTCGCCCACCATGTCGCGCGCGCACTTGGCTACCTTCCCACGGGTCATACGGCTGTACTCGCCGCTTGGACGGCTTAGTAGTCGTATGACTGATTTGACACTGTCTGGGAGGACAGAGCCGCTGTCTAGCATCTCTGCTAAGGTTTCGATGTATTCATTCTCGCACCGGAGAGTTTCTCTCACTAGTTGGTGGCGGAACGGTGCCAGGTTCACATGGAACTGGCGACATGTATTTGAGAGGGCGTAGAGGGTGTTCAGGTCGATCGCACGAGCGATTCCTTTGACGATGCTATGGACGTGTTAGCTGGGTTTGAATCTCTTTTTCCGGCTGTCGGGAAACAATGGCATACGGATAACAACTCAAAGCCGCGGAGAATCCATTCCGATTGGGGTTTAGGATCTCCTCGGTCGTTTCATTCGGTGGTTCGGCCGGCTCCGACGCGATGGGGTCAACCGTGGGGTATGGCTTCTCCAAGAATGCCGATCCGTCCGCAAGCGCATCGTCAAGGTCGACAAAAACCACCATGCTGCTCCATCAGAGGCCTCTTCTCAAGATTTCATCAGGTAAGATCAATGGTTTTTATAGTGTCTTGATACTACCCTTTGGTGGGATGATGACGAAATGAAGGATTAATTGGTGCTCCGAAGACCGGGGCGGTGAGTTACGTGATCACATTCAGCCGTGAAGCTCCAGTGCTATTTTACTCTGTTCGATTTATTTAGAACGGAGGTCTTATGGATGCTATATGGGACAATAATAGATGCCATTTCCCCCTCTCATCCCCCCCAGTTACCCTCGGTCAAAAATACCGGGGAGTTCCTGCTTGACTCCGGAGATGCTGATAAGCTAAGCAAGTCCTTTGTTTCCTAATCGGGTAGGACATGCAGTTTTATACATTTACAGCACTGTTTTTCCACCATTGATTTTAGTATATACTCTTTAGTAGTGCCTCTTGTGGGGCTTGGAGCGTTTATGTCTACAACACATACACAAAGTAGTGCATCGGTGTCTAGTGAACGGACAGACGGAGTATTTAGGTCACTCTATATAACAGATTTCCTCTGTCGGGTGGGGCTTTCCTATCCTAGCTGCTGCCGCTTTTGTGAGGGCGCTCAGAGTCAGGCTCATTGAGTAAATTTCAGTCCAGGCTCAGGCTCACTAATCTGCCCAGTGCCATCCCACATGATAAATCAGCGAGGATGACAAGCAACTCAGAAATCCAAATGCAAGCCACTACAATCTACTCTTAACCTGAGCAATCCACCCCTGTATCGGTGAAATGGTTTCTAGTAAGTGACTCCTGTGCGAGGCAACGTCCGGATGTATCCTGTGACCCGCATTTTCACTATTCTATCACAAATTAGTACTGTTCTTATTGATTCTTGTGATGGGGCAGGAAGGATTTTCGTAGATATCTGTCAGTGCTGTTGAAGGCTGTTCATAAAAGACACTCCACGGTAATTTCAGGATATCATCTATGTCATAAATATCAGTCTTAACAAAATTTGTTCAGCCTTTATTGTACGAATATACCATTATCTAGGAAAATGTAACGACATCGACAAGTTGAAAGAGAAACTCAAGAAAATGATCAATAACGTGACTCTTATACCTTGGGGTCTTGCCTCTGATCCGATCATAATTCCTATACATGCCTTTGATTAGAGAGCTACTTGATCACAACAAGATAGTATTGTAGGAAGAACCTCTGAGAACTTTAATGACACCCAATTTGTCGCTTAACACTGATATAACTCCAGGCAAACGTTGGACGCGGCTGATATATCATACATGGTCCGTAGCAAAAAATAATCAACTCGGGATCCGGCTTCAACTGTTGTTCAATAAAAGCGAAAACAAAGAAAACCACCAGGTTGCTATCCCAAGCCGCTTCAGCTGTCCTCGAGCCGTCTCAATCTTTCACATTCCAACTAAAGTGGCATTCAGCTGGTTTCTCCTCTACACTTATGGATGATAGCTTGGTCTTCCAGGGCTGATATTCTTCTCTCCAAGTATCGTATATTTTTGCCATCGCCATGAAGCACTGCGAGAACAAGCCAAAGCGTAAGATTGACGTGAAAGCGAGTGTTTGTGCCTAAAAACACAAGGCCTTTTTTCAGCGGCTGACGAATTGAGGCGATTGAAGGGAACGGCATTGTAATATGTCGCTTGGGGTAATGTTGATCAAGAATAGGTTTTGGTGAAATAGATCCAAGAAGTTGGGAAAGGAGGAGGAGACAATCTCAGTTTTTAAAAAGAAACTACATATGTAATGAATTTGTAAGTTCCGATTCCCATTTGGTTGTCGGCCTCTAGGTACATAATTAGGATTAGCACAAGATGAAGTAAGCTCTCAATTGAACTTCCCTAGGTAGAACCTTAGGTAGAAGGTTCCAAGGTTGAGGTCGTGAGGGATGTATGCGACTTGCGGATCCATAAATCTATAAGAATATTTTTGAATCTGTACATATGTAAGTACTGTGATATAAATTTAGGTACAGAAACAATTAGACAGTCATTGCAAACCCAACCATCCAACAAAGAGGAGAAATGGACTCAAATAGCATGTAAATGTGTGTATTCGCTAATGAGGTGAGGGTGCCAATAAATCTGGGGCAGAGTATCCATAGATATCCCGGGTAGTACACATCAGGTGAGGAGAGGGATGCTATACTATTGTACAAGCTTTGGCTCGGACGTGGTGGATCATTATGGGCTTCAACCCAAGGGATTTTGGAGTGGGTTCTATGTATGGCCTGGACAGTACACAGTAGGTGATATTCACTGCCTACAAGTCCTTAGTGACAGTGAGATAAGGGATACTGCGAGCTTTGTCCCAGGCATTATAGATAATTGGGGCTTTGAAACAAGGAATGTAGGAGTGTGCCTTCGTTATAGTTCCGGACCCCCGTGTTGCGGCTCTCGCTCTAGCTTTGTGATACTGTCTGAAGGGGCTCTTCAGGACCAACTTCCAGATTCCTTAGTTCAAAACCTCAATTATCTGTAATACTTGTGACAAGGCTCGCAGTATCCCTTCTCTCACTGTCACTAAGGACTTGCAGGTGAATAATTAGGGCTCAGGGGCGTGCTCAGTTATACTCAGTAAGCAAAAAGCGGCAAGGGCTAAGCACTAAAATGGAAACGGAAAACCAAAAAGTGACAGGCCGCTCCGGGGAAATGGATGGATCAAGTATGTACTTAGGTAATTACCGACAAGATTGGAGTCATCCCCGAATTGTTAAGCTTGCGGGATAATCTTTCATTGCTTTTCTTTGTTGGAGAAATTAGTGGGGGTTGATAAGCATTTGATATACCCCTCGTATCCCCCACTCTTTCACTTCTCCATCATCACCATGCCGCTCAACGCCAAAGCCGTATACACCCGCCAGAATGCGGACTATGTCCCATTTGCCAGTCGACGGAGTACCGTCCACAGCACGAAGGGCATTGTATCATGCACTCAACCACTAGCCGCTGCTGCGGGTCATAAGATCCTGAGCCAGGGTGGAAATGCAGCGGTATGCATCTTGTTCAATTCTATGTGTCGCATGGTACTTCAACAATGCTAACATTGATACTCTTGCCCAGGATGCTGCTGTTGCTGTTGGTAAGTCTCGTCTCAAGTGGCATAGTCACAGGAAACAATGAACTAATCTCATGATTCTACAGCTGCCGGTCTCAACATGACTGAGCCTGGCTCTACAGGTATCGGAGGTGACATGTTCTGTCTCTTCTACAATGCCAAGACGAAGAAAGTGCATGCCCTCAATGGCTCTGGTCGGTATCCTGGTAATGCCAGCTTGGAGAAAATCCGTAAAGATCTCGGCCTGGCCCCTGGTGCGCCGGGCAACATGCCCATGATGAGTGCTCTCTCCGCGACTACGCCTGGAGCAGCTGCAGGATGGGTGGATACTGTTGAGAAGTTCGGTAGCGGTAAGCTGTCGCTCGAGCAGATTCTCCAGCCTGCAATCGAGCTGGGAGAGGAGGGATTCCCTGTATCGGAGCTTTCGTCCCACGGTGTAAGTACACGATTTCCAATCGTAATCGCACCGTAAGCTAACACATATGCAGTGGAATGAATCTGAGAAGGATATCCGCAATGCCTCTCCTAATTTCCGTGAGATGTTGAAAGTCGATCCTTCAGCCAAGGATGGCGTGCGAGCACCCCTTCCAGGCGAAATCATGAAAAATCCCACTCTAGCCAAGACCTTCCGCGCCCTCGCTGCAGAGGGCAAGAAGGGATTCTACCAGGGCCCGATTGCAGAATCCATCGTCAAGGTGGTGCAGGATCAGGGCGGCTACATGTCGCTCGAAGATCTAGCCTACCACGCCGAGGTCGGAACGCAGGAAGTCGATGCGATCTCACTCAAGTTCACCGGCCAGGACATCGTTTCCAAAGCCACACCCGGCACAGATAGCGAGGCCAACCAGGGCGTTGAGATCTGGGAGCACCCACCAAACGGCCAGGGCATCGTGGCACTAATGGCACTCGGCATCATGGAGGAACTTGAGAAAGCAGGCAAGATCCCCAAGTTCACCGAGGCCCAGCACAACTCAGCCGAGTACCTACACGCCGTGATTGAGAGTCTGCGCATCGCCTTCGCCGACGCAGCCTGGTGGGTCACAGACCCAGACGTGGAAAGCGTGCCTTCGCAAGGCCTGCTCGACCGCGCATACCTCGCCGAGCGGGCGAAACTGTTCACCCCCGAACGCGCAGCAGATATCATGGACCACGGCAGTCCGGCGCACAACCACTGCGACACTGTGTACTTCGCAGTGACAGATGCCGAAGGCAACGGCATCTCATTCATCAACAGTAACTACGCTGGCTTCGGAACAGCCATCATCCCTGCTGGCTGCGGCTTCACGCTGCAGAACCGCGGTGCCAATTTCTCGCTGCAGGAAGGCCACCCTAATGCCCTAGCCCCGAAGAAGCGACCATACCACACAATCATCCCTGCCCTCATCACTAATATCGCCGATGGCTCCTTGCACTCCGTTTACGGTGTCATGGGTGGCTTTATGCAGCCGCAGGGCCATGTGCAGGTCATGCTCAACATGCTTGCCTTCGGGTACCATCCCCAGGCAGCGCTCGATTCGCCGCGCTTCTGTCTGGCTGCGCCGACGGATGAGACTACTGACCGCACGGTGTGGGTTGAGGAGGGTATCAGTGATGAAGCTGTGGAGGGACTGCGTCGTCTGGGTCACAAGATTGAGGTGTTGACTGGCTGGAAGCGGGCTATGTTTGGTCGCGGCCAGATCATTCGCTCGTATTACGATGATGGGAAGATGGTGTATGCTGCAGGCAGTGACCCTCGAGGCGATGGGATGGCGTTCCCTTTGCTGTAGAGACATGTTGAGAATCATGGAACTCAAAATTCAATTGTAGGCAAATAGTCACATGTGATCAACCATCGGGAAATCCAGGCTCTGTTTCGGTTTTTAAAATATCTCCATGGCTGTTCATCATTGGATATCTTTACCGATATTCAACCGACGGCACCAATGATATGCAGCCTTCTTCCGTCCACTGTACAGCTAGGCTCAGATAAAGACGACTTTGTTTCAATACAAAGTACAGGCGGGCCCAGTTTAAACGCCTGCTTCCTATCGAGTGACAAATTACTATTCATAAGCCCCTCTTAGTCCCTAGAATATTCCAAAGTTAGTCGCTACAGCATTGGTAAGCCATCGCCTACCTCACCTCACCTACACAACTACGTCAGTGTGTCAGTATACAGTACCCATCACAAGCCTCCTGCATACTCCGAACTCCATAACAACAGCATTCAACCCACAAAACCTAACCAAAAATCCCCAAACCAAAGAGCAAATGCATACTACTCAAGCCGGCAAGTCCGAGCGAGAGCGAAAGCGCAAAGCCTAAGGCGTCGAAAAGCCGCCTGATTCCGACAACCCCTGATCGACACGCCAGACCAACCTAACCTTGCCCCACACGCAAGCTCCAGCGAGCGCTCCGGACTCCGTCGAACAAAAAAAAAACACAATACTCCATACGAACATTGGCATTCGTAACCAAACAGCCAAGATCAGCACCAGTATACAAGTATGGTATGATGTATCACAAGTCAAGCGAACCTCTCAGCCCCTCCACTCCATCTCGAATCAAGCTAATCCATACTCCATATTGGGTATTTGCAAGCACCAATGCAAAGGCCAGATCAAAGCCCAAACCCCCCACAGCACTCTCCACGCGAGATGAAGATAGCCCGTACGCGACTCCACCAAATGCCGGATTCACATGATTTCCCTCCCCAGCGCTGGAACCAGTCTAGCTGGGGAAATACAGTGGGGAGCGGGCAAGGCCGTTTACCATATCGAGAATAGCCTTGGGTCTGCGCGTTAATTAAACGGATTTGGGGCGTGAGTCAGGGCGTGAATCATTCCAGACTGGAACCTAGCCTTGAGACAGAGACATATCCACTCCAATATTCCCGGACCCCAGAGCCGGCCGAGAGGAAGGGAGGTTTTTTTTTTTTTTTGGAAATTTGAGTTCGGGTGGGTATTGTTTTCTAATTGGAATTGTAACCGCGCTTGGTATCAACAAAGGTTGGGATGTTTTTTCTTTCCAAGCTTGGAAGACTGAGGTCGGTTTGTTCCGCTTTACATAGGCGAAAGTCTATTTTCTTTTTTCGATGGAATATATTTCCGCTCCGGTCGGATATCGCTTATCTCGTCTGGAGGCTGTAACGGTCAACTGAGCCATGGAATGAATGGGTGATGGTTGGTTTGATTAAGTTGAACCTTGGAACTTTATCTCGAGAGGTTAATGTTTCGTCGAATTTGGAGCTATATACGTTTATAAAGTGCCGGTGTATGGTGCAATCATCCTAAAACAAAGTTCGTGATATATTTGAATGGCCTGCAGGGGTGGGTATAGGTATAGTAAAAAATGGCAGAAGGAAAAAAAAACAATCATAATCGTGGTCGTCGCAAATCACACATAAAGCAAGACGTCAAACAAAGGAAAAGGAAGAAAAAAAACATCAAATCTAACCCCCAGTTCGTTGGCTCCGTCCGCAAGACCAAAGAATCAAACAACCGATATCGGGAGATCGCTTATCTTCTTGGTGTTGCTCTATTTGGAGGAATTGTGGCTGGGCGCGTGCTGGAAGCGAATGCGACGGGTGGACCCGGAGTCGAGGTGGTCACACTCCGGACAAGATTGGAGACAGGTGGAAAGAACCCTGCTAATGAGCATTGAGCCATTTATATGTGCTCCATAGAGAGTGTCGAGGCTACCAGTGATCCTCGGGATTCCCGTCCCTTGGACCCACATCTGTTTTTTTTGCCATGGAGTCCAAGGTTTTCCAGGGCTGTTGGATCGTCCGCGCTGGTTTTGTATGGAGATATACCCAAGTAGTCGTGCAGTCATAAGATACGGACATCTATGATCAATATGATTGACCAGAGAGCTTCGATGATCATTTCACATGCCCCAGGTCCCTGTTTGGAACTGGTGCATGGGGTGGACCTGGTCCTCGTATGGAAGGCAGTCTGCGCTGGACCACGGAGGCGAAGGGTAATGGCACTGAACAGGCTAAAGTTATATTAGCCAACGGTCATACCGAATAATGGCAAAGAAAAAAACTCACCGGCTGGATCATATTCTCCCCCATGGACATGGGGACTAGATGCGACGGCGGCATACCAGCATCCGTTTCCCAGCGGAGGGGAGTGTGCATCTGAAGTGGGGACGAAGTGACCGAGCCCTTCATGATATTCTTCGGGTACTGGTCGATAACAGACACGGACGCGGAAGAGATAGAGGAGCTAGAGTGGGGAGGGAGAGAGAAAGTTGCATCCGACAGAGGCGAGGGGCAGGTATCTGCGGGGGAAGAGTAGAACGGGCTGTCGTCGACGGATTCGGGGAGCTGAGTATGGAAGGCTGGGCGGGGCTGTAGGGGCAAGTCGACGCCGCTCCACATCATTGAGCAGTCGTTGGCCAGGTCTGGGTGAATCCCCGGAGCGACGAGTGAGCCGATGGACATGGAGTGTGAATGGGGGGTTGCGGTCAATGGCATTCCGGGGCCCATTGGCATACAGCGCGAGACAGCGGAGTCGGTTATGATATGCTTTTGGGCGTTGGATGCCCATGAGGGATGTCCTGATTGCGATTCGAGTTCGCTGCCATTATTGTCAGTATATACCATATCGCCAACAGCTTCCCAGTATTACTCACTGTCTCTCCATGTGGCGGGCAAGTAGATCGGCGCGGTGGAATGCCTTTTTGCATCCGTGTACTGCGCAGCGGTACGTTGCCTCGGGGTTGTGGTTCAACTCATGGCGTCTTCGGTGCTCAGCCCTGGTGAAGACCTGCAATGGAGTTAGTTTGATTGATGCGATGGGTGTATATTATTGCGCCGACCTTTTCGCATCCTGGGTGTTGGCAGGCATGCACGCGCTTTCCCTTCTTGGCCTTGCTGATGCGATGGGTGGTTGGTGTATAGGTGACGGGCATAGTGGCATCCTGGGAGTCTGCACGCATACTATTCTTCATGTTGGAGTTGGAAGCAAGTTGTTGAGGTTCCGGGGAAGAAGAAGAGGAGATGGAAGGCGAGTTCAAGACACAGACGATATGGGTTGGAGTAATGCGCCCTGAGGATGGCCGAGCCATGATGTGTAAAGAGAATGGAGGGGAAAAAGTAGATGAGGGGATGAAATGATATAAGATAGATCGGCAGGATTGAATCGTGAATATATAAGAATCTTGAAAAGAAGAGATGAGATGAAGAGAGGAGGGTGGACTGATATAGCACTAGAAAGGCTGTTCCTACAGATCTACGAAGACGGATTAATAGACTTTGAGTAAATTGGAGGAAATTAATATAGAGAAATAAAATAAAATAAAAATGTAAAAATATAAAAATATAAAAATGAATTAATACATTCCATGCTAATAATAATTTATCCAACAAAAATAAATCCAACATAAGGCTAAATAAGGGCTAACTGAGATTAGATCCAGGGAAAAAACAGCACGGGCGTGGAGGCGATGATCGCTCTGCGGGATGATCAGAGCATAAGCCGTACTAAATTTACACGACAGGGGGGATTGCATTAGATCCAACATGAGGTGCGGCTGAGGCGCACTTTCCAGTCCGCCCTTCAAATGATCCATAATAAGAAATTAGGCGGAATAACCCGTGTTGGTTATGTTGGGTATGTTGGTTATTGTTGGTTGGTTTTGTTGGAGAAATAGGCGCTGTTTCGCCGTTGGTCCGTTGGCCCAGAATGGGCGATTATGGGAGATTATCTAGTATTTAGGTGATGTAACTATCTAGTGTTCTAGGAGGAAATTACAGGGATTTCAAGTGCCGTGTCAACCAATTTCTTTTTTTTTTTTTAATAACAGACAAATCATTGAACGAAACAAAATCGCTAGGATGATTCTGATCTGAGCTTTTCACCTCTAGAGACGAGTCCAAGCTCCCAAGAGTGCAACGGGTTTATCCCATCGCAACGCTAACCTCGAATGGTATATATATTGCGCTGGTTTAGGTAACTCGCAGGACCGGTTTAAAGCGCTATTCCGAATATAGTATATAATAGGCTGTCTACTCCGGCCAAGGGCTACTACAATTGGATACCGACGGGCGGAAGATTTTTCTGAATTAGGAATACAATGTAAACATAATATGTACATTTCCAATAGGTTCTATTTTGTATATAAATATAACCAAAGGATTCCTTATGTTGGTTATGTTGGTTTATGTTGGATAGGATCTTGGGAAAGAACGGGGAGATCCGGTGGATCCGAGCAAAGCCTCAACCAAACTCTTGAAAGTCGGTTAAATGTAGCTAATTCGAGTTCACACTAAGCTAGAAATTGAAAAGTAGAAATAGATTAAAATAAAATAACACGGTAAAAAAAAATAACAACTGAAAAAAAAAAAGGGAAAGACACAGGGCCCTTGAAATGACTTGGCATTTAATCTTCCAATACGCTCTTGTTTCAGTATGCCGATCCCTAACTGTTAGACAGATACCCCAACTTCGGCTCCGACTCTCAAAACGTCAGTGTTCGTCCGGGCCCGTGGGGGAAAGACCATCTGGTGGAACACTATATTTCATATATTCCATAATATAATCTAATATTCGATACTATATTCTATATACCTACATTATATTTCATATATCCTACTATATCCTACATACTATTGATTCACTTCTAGGCTAATGAATTCTTTCCTTTCTCCCGAAAGTTACCCTGCACCCCGCCCCAAGCGACATTGCATAACCGGAGAATAGCTCCCCTGTCACCCTCGTGGCAGAGCAAGCATCAGGAGCCGGATCCCAGGCCGTCGTAAACATCTGACTTAATAATATCACACTATCAATAACATGTTCTAGTTAGTCCTTTTAACTTAATATACATCGACTACTGCACAACTAAAACACGCTATGTGCAACGCCCATCCCCTGATCCCCCCCCCCCCCCCCCCCTATATTTCTGGAACTCTACCTTCTGCAAATCCCGAAAAAGAATCAAGGAACAATAGACTAAAATTAACGAGCACATTATGCAGGCGACACTCGAAGGATCCATTTCAAGGCTGAAATATGTCCCGTGCTGACGCCCGTCACTATCGCGACCGTTGACTTATGCGACTAGGCGAATCATGGGCACCAGATGCGTGGCTGTGGGGAGGAATGTGGAATTTCTCGTTTCTCGCATGATCCACCATCGACATTGTGTTTTGGCTGCAGATTATGAGGATCAACGATGAGAATCATGACCTGGACTGCAAGGCATTCTTGCAGGGGTCTTGAAACGTACGCTGTAATTGGGTGGTCCGTATAAGATGAGCATCTAGAAAAAGAAAGAGTCAAATATGCAACGTGCGGGAACTACTACAGCCTCTTTTTTTTCCTTTTTCCAGCTTTCCAAGTTTAGACACGTATGATATACCCCCTACCGATACCCTTGTCTATACTGACCAGAAAGGGTCTTGTCTATGTTTGATCGGCTGCTGCGGCTAGGGGTCAAACAGCGGGCTTAGTCTGGGGTTTATACGGAATACAATACAAACAAACGCTTTTATTTTATTTTATTGTATTTCTTTTCTTTTCTTTTCTTTTCTTTTCTTTTTTTCTTCTTTTCGCTCAGACTACCATTAAAATTGATCGTCATTTACTATCATAGCCTTGTTGTGCATAATCTTGACCTAAGCCACTTCCAGTGTAGATACGATATTAATATGGATTGTACACAATTATGGGCCAATCGTAGTCTTTTTTTTAAAGAGAGAATTATTGTATGACCGGGATCTGGTTCGCGCTATTATGTACCCCCCTGTGCTTGTAATTTCCCACATGGCTCATGGTTAGTTCGCTTTCGCTTGTTAGCGTCTGTAGATCATGACTATATCGAATTGTACGGATGGAGGCTGATGTTTTTCAAACAGCGCTTGTTCATTCGTAGCGCTGTTGGATTATCGGTGTCATGCTAATGGCCGATATTTGTGCGGGGGTGTCTTGCAGACCGAGCTGTCAGATTCGGGAATATGGTATTCCAAGTCTATAAAAAGTCTATTAACACCTCTACTGGTGAACATGAAGATTACTCTGAATAGTTATAATCAAGAATGGCACATATATAGTAAGACGGGTAACCAACGGGTGATTTCCATGAAGATGAAGAAAAGCATACGGACAAGTGAGCGTGATCATCAATATACTTTGTAGGATGAACGAGTCAGAGAGCTTGGTTGGATGTTGGTTCTTTTTTTAGATGCTTACAATCAACACGGGCATAGGCCGTGCACGCTAGTCTACTTTTCATAGAAATTCATTTTCACATGTTATACATAAGGCATCCAAAGTACAAAGTACAATGTTCCACGTTCAGGACAGAGTCATAAATGACTGTTCTTGTTAGTACACTCTACATATGTACTTTGTATATAACTTCCTAATCTCAGATCCACCAAATAATAGCACCCGAATCTAATTCGCGGGAGAGTAAACAATTCTGTAGCATAGTTCAAATTAAATTATATTAACCCAGAGCTATCTAACATGTGCCACAGGATCAATGCGACCCATGTTCCTAGCTCTTAAGGTATTTACGGGATGCCCAGGATCAACACCCGTTAACCCAAGTTTTTTAGAGTACATCATTTGAAGCTGCCACATTTACTCTGTATACATTTGGACTTCCATCTGTATAAATAAAAAAAGGGGGGTTATGCAAATACGGAAAAAAGAGACGGAAAAAAAAATAATAAATTCCAGCGTATATGCGCGCATTTTCTTGTCCCCACCAGCCCCTCTCAAGCTTTAGAGGCTCTTTGATTCCAATCAGGTCACCCCGGTCAAGAGGTGGCCCTTCCGGGTCTCTCTCTTCCGGCCTCTCCCCCAGCTTAATCGGTGAAGTTCCATTTTAACCTCTCGTAATCGCGGATCTTCGATTTAGGAAGGTTAAGTGATAAAGTTAGCGATAAGGCTGATAATGTGGTGTATATGTACTCCGTACTCTGAACGGGTTACCTGATTTTGCAAATATGTATGGTATATATAATAGAGGTATGTTATACAAAGTACATAGGTATCATGGATTGTTCCATGGAAGATGAATCTCACCTCAGATCCAGTACCATCTATGCTGATTGGCGGAATTTTTATTCTTTCTGATTCGCTTACTGCAGGTAAATAACCCACTCCAGGTCTAGGCATTCCATGAGAACTTTGGGAGAGTAATATCACGCAATAGTTACCAAAGAATTCGTACTACCTAATAATCGAGCTTACACATGCTCCCAAGTAGTCCGGTATCTGATATTTGACCTAGAAACTGCCTAGGTAATTACCTAGGCCCCCAAGGTTCTGGGGCAAATAGCCGAATTGACGGTTTAACTTGGGAATTGCGGCTATTCCCGAAGTCTCGGTTGAACAACAACATATTGGGGCATCCATTTTCAGTAAAAAAGTACAAAAGTAAAAAAAAAAAAAGTATAAAAAACAAGATAAGGGAGATCAGCCGTACTTTAGCTCTCCTAGAAATGTGCCCGTTTGTTAAAGTCTCACGTTCGTAATTGGAGGCCGTTAGGGTCTAAATCAACCTACTGGGTTGAAATTAAATCCATCCACGTGGAAAATCTACGATGCTCACTCCAGGGCTACATTCCAACGGAATATACAAATCTAGTTTAGTTCAGCTCCACTTTGCAAATCGGGTTATATGATTATTCCCTTATCATTGGACAATATGGCCCTCAATGTTTCTACTGGTTTTGTGACTCTAATCAATTCTATCTCATTCTTCATATCTTTCACAGTAACTCCACGTCAATGCCTCGGTTCTTGTGTCTCGGGTGCAACGGCGCCCTCGTGCGTCTTGTGGCTCGATGTACCATAATATCTATATATTAATGTACGACGTACCTAAATTAGTCTCCTGCCAAGCAAGGTCTAGGGTACTCCGTAGTGAAAAGTGTGATCGATCTGCACTCACAGCCCAATCCTGTTGAGCAGATCGTCGCTATCTGTGAAGGTCTTTTTCTGGCCCATCAAATTAAAGCGGATTCGTTAGTAACTGAGGCATTTGTCTTTCCCCTGCAACTACAAAGTACACCATACCGAATACAGCGCACTTGCAGGGATTTGAAAGATTAA